TACTACAGCTATAGAGATGAAACTCTGTGATACCTGTTCTTTTTTTTTTTTTAACATATGGTGATAACAAAATATGTTGCCAGAGAAATAATATTTGTTTTCAGTGTAAATATACTTGAAAGACAACATCATTGGCTTATAATTATTATACTACAATTATGCATTCGGTGTATATGTTAGTTGTAGTTTTAGTTATTAGAACAGTTATTTGCAAAAGGGCACTTCTTACCGATTTTAATGACGTTTTTATTATAAGTAGTAAGGTCAAATCAGAGGTAGGTTGGAAAAATGGAGGGACGGATGAAAATTAAATAAAAATTATCTATCTATGAAACATTTTGAAGTAAAGTAACATGTACGCAGAAATCTATAATCGCTGCCACTTGTAAAAAATATCAGTTAACACTTAATATTTTTATTTCTGGTGAATTAATATTTTATTTATAATAGTTTATTTCTGATGATATTAATTGCGTATTATTTTATCTTTCATAAATTTTGTATGGAAAAGTACATACCTCCCTTTTTACAACAAAAATATTCGATAAATATAACAACGTGTGAAGATAGACTTACTCACAGCAGTTAGTTACAGTTTTTATAAATATTTTGAGATTAAATGTAGATAATTTAAATCCTGTTTTTCTTACCTCTTATAAAAACCAGGTATTTAAGATATAAAAGCTTATACTGAGTTCGAGATTTTTATGGCTTACTTGATAACCATGACTAAAAATTGAAATTCTCATTGAATAAGTCATATTTAAAACAATGTATACATAACATAGCACAATCAAAATTTTACTACGACCCTTTGGCTAAAACATCATTGAAATGCAGCAGTAAGAAGAAGTCACAGAATAATATTCTCGGCATCGTTTTAAAAGTTTAATTCACCTTGAGTATGTTTCTCCGTGAACAAGCGAGTGAGAATGTAACAACCATTTTTCTCTGAAAATTTACATACAATTCAAAGATGCTCCTCCGCGAACAAGCGAGCGAGAATGTGACAATAGTTCCTTCTCTGAAAATTTACATACAATACGAACGATTAAAAAGCTTAAAGAAAATCACCATGAAGACTAAAAGTCTTTATAATGGTCCCATAAAAGTTGGCGTAAAAAGCCCTTCAGCTTTTGATAGATATAATATATTTTTATTAGTCAGAATCGCTGTGTTGGCCCTATTGAGCGACACGACGTTTGCCAATAAATTTTTATTAAATCCTCGCCGTTTTAGATCCGGCGAAGGTCACGTTCACTCCGACGGTGCAATACCTGCCGTTTCGCCTGGCCGGTGTGGTTCATTGTTACATAAAAGCAAATCCCACCCTTCAATACGTGACATGGACAAAGGACAAACGATTGCTCGAGCCTTATCAAACGAAGGATATCGTGGTGATGAACAATGGCTCCCTGCTCTTTACACGGGTGAACGAGAATCATCAAGGTCGATACACCTGCACACCTTACAACGCGCAGGGCACGCAGGGAAGCTCCGGACCGATGGAGGTGCTCGTGCGAAATCCGCCGGTGTTCACCCTCGAGCCGGACCCCATCTATCAGAAGAAGGTTGGCGAAACGGTGGAGATGCATTGTGACGCTCAAGAAGCCGAGGGCACGCAGAAACCTACGATACAATGGCACAGGGTATGGTAAAGCTGTGTTTGTGCAAGAAAACCGACCTGTTTGACGTATATACGTTCGATGAGAAACGTAATTCTAGCAAAGATTAATGCTAGGATTACCAAAGTGATCGATAACAACCAATTCGTAATTTTTCATCGTAGGAAGTTTTGTAGAGTAATAATGGTGATTCTATGGAGTCTCGAATAATTTTTCATCGAATGTGCAGGGTGTCTCGTAAACCGTAAACAAGGGACTGGAGGTGACGCTATATGCAGAAATGAATCGAAAAGAAAGAATAAAATTGTTTTCATTTCAGACTTCGTTTTCAAGAAAATTGAGCTTGAAAGTTCATTTTGAATCTGACTAATTTATTGGACTGTATAATTGGTAGAACTGGGGAAATAAATGATAAATGTAAAATAGAATTTTTCCACTAAAAAAAAACTTAATTTTCAGGGAAATAGAATTTGAATATCTTTAATTAGGAATTAACTCATTGTTGGTAAACATATACTTGATACATTGAGAAATTTGATTTTCTCGAAAACGAAGCTTTAAATTTTATTTCTTCTTTTCGACTCATTTTCGCGTATACAGTCATCTGTCAGTCAATTTGTATATATTTAAAGCTTGTATTCTATCATAGTTTAAACTTTTTCTTGTTCCTTAAATTTTAGCAAGTTTCAATATAAGTTTTATACTTTAGTTATCGATAGTTTTAATGCTAACCGAAAGATTCTTACATTCTTGATCAACTTGAATACACATACATAATCAGTTAGCTTAAGTGCATTGTTATTCATTTCTATGGTAATGACAATTCTCTGGTTTGTAACTACACCTTAAGTGATTTTTAACACTGGAATAATTAGTATTGAACGTATATCTATTTCTATCACATCTGTCAAATTGACGGTATTTAAAAAAAAAATACTTAGTATTTTTAATTTCTTTGTAGTGTTACCGAAATACTTTATTTATTTGAAAACATACTTTAGTTGAAAAATTGAAATTAAATAATGAAACGAAACACGAACTGTAGAATAAAAATTATTCTAAAATTAATTTTCAAAAAACATAACGAAAATTCTAATAGAAAATTTTATATTGTTATATATTTCCTATAAATGTAAAATAAATTGTAGAACAATTAAACCCGTTTTATTGACAGATTTTTTTTATATATTTAGATATAATATATGATATATACAGAACTTTGAAATAAAAATGGTTAATGGAAAATAAAATGGCACATATTCATTCTTTTAAAAACTCAGTAGAAACTCTGATAAAAGCACCTTAATAGCTTTTGCAATTGAAAACGAAAAATCTGAAATCCATCATTTTGGTTATTCTAGTGTCAATCATCTACTGTTAATAGTACCTACTTGTAATCTCGATATCAACTTCCAAGTAAATCTCTTGACATTTATACTCGTTTTAAAAGGTTATAAAACTTGTTCATAAAATATCTGCTTAGCTGTTTATCGTATGTTTTTATATTCTTGTAACATATCATACGAAGCTATTCTATTGAAGCTTGTCTTTAGAAATCAGGATGTATGATGTTTGATGTTTTATTTATTTTTAAAAGTCTCGTCAGTCTCGTTGATTGCCCCCCGAAATATTATCAATACTTAAATATTGACATCACACAATCTTCTTCATTCAAACACATCATACGCTCTATAAATAGTATATTGTTGTTCAATAATAACTAATAATAAATTAATCAATATTATAGTCAATCATCTTTGCAATAATTCAAATTTCTTTCATCCGTTTTCTAACATTTTTAATAACTTCCTTCACTTGATCAGAATATCCATCTTCACAAGCTTACGCTACTTTATATCACATAACATTTTCACTATCCGTGAATAATAAAAATAACGATATACACTACGAATTGATCGATTTCTAACTTGCCATTCGTTTAGCTTGTCGAATCGTACGATGAGCGAAAAATCATCCGCCTGGTAGACTAACAAGCCGCGAATAAAACGTACTTGAGTATCTCACGATATTTCCCTACACGTTAGTCTCTCGACGCTGGATTTTCGCATTTGCACATGATGATTTAATTCCGTAGAGGGATGGCGCGTCGATCCAACGCAACCGGGCCAAGATCGTCGGCGGCAATTTGACGATCGAGAGCCTGCGACGCTCGGACTTCGGCTTCTACCAGTGCGTCGCCTCGAACGAAGTGGCAACCATATCGGCATCCACGCAGCTGATCGTCGAAGGCACGCAACCGCACGCACCGTACAACGTATCCGGCACCGCGACCGAATTCTCGGTCACGTTGACTTGGTTGCCGGGATATTCAGGAGGGCCTGATTACAAGCAAGATTATACCATCTGGTGAGTCTGTGTACTCTGGCTGGTTGTTTGCTCGAACCCTCGTCTCGCGTCGAGCGGTACGGCTGTTTGACGTCGGGCGTTTCAAGCTTCTGGGCATAGAAACGATATCCTTTTGGAATAGCATTCCCAAGTATGTTAACCTCGGGGCGAGCGAGGTAACCACTCGGTGAGCCGGCAATATCGGTTAGAATGCCATTCCGAGAGGAAACTCGTAAACGAGAGGAGTACGTTGTTTCGAGCATCAAAGTAAGTACGTACGTTGCGGGAATGAGTTTAAAGGGGAATTGTTTAACGTAGGTACAGAGAATCGGGCACGTCCGAATGGAAGATGATTCCGGTAACTCCGTCCGGAAGCACCACCGTGACGATCAACAACCTGACGCCAGGTACGATGTACGAGTTCCAAGTGATCGGGAAGAACGCTCTGGGCGATGGAATGCTGAGCAAACTTATTACCATCAGGACGCTTGGTAACGAACTTTGAACTTTTTCGCATTATTTGATCGGTGATAGAGCGATCGGTGTTGCGCGATCTCTCGCGATAATCGTTCGTTATTAAAGGAGCTCCGGGATTTTCTCTATTTCGCGCCAGTTTCGATGCTCGAACGAATATCGCTGTCGCCTGGAACTAACAGTCTTTGCCTGTTATTAACACGACTAACATATCGCATTCTATGCAATCTGTTCCCTTCTTCTTTTTCAATCGCTTCAATCCCTCGAAGATGTGGCATTGACGCATTCAGCGACTCCATCCTCGAGTGCCGGTCAAGCTGCAGCCACGGATGAAAGCGGTAAGATCGTCGATCCAATCGATATTGTCTACCCGTACAACTAGTAATCGGCCACTCGTTGCCGAGATTATAAGTCGTTTCCGTGAGAAGAGGCGCCGAAACAGCTTGACGCTGAAGCAGCAGCCCCGAAATCAAAGGGACAATCTTGTATTTGAACGCGATCGACCATAAAACCATCCGATTCGAGGCTTTCTCTCTCTCTCTCTCTCTCTCTCTTTCCCTCGTTCTCTGTCTCTGTGGAAACGAACGAGCTCCGAAACAAGCTAACAAAGAATCTCGGTTGAACGATTCCGTAAAGATGCCTTGCGCGGAAGAGAGCTCCTCCCTCTTCACCGCGGCCGATCTTTATAAAGCCTCGTTGCTGGAAATAGCGCGAGAATTTCAAAGTTACGTTAAAGCTCACCGCGAAAGGAGAAGCAAAGAGGAAGGGAACGAAGACTTCCGTCGCGACTTATCGTATCGGAAAACCCATCGAGCCGTTCATTCTGTTTCCGCTTTTATTTCCTTCCCTCGAATCTACCGGGTCATTGCCTTCCATTTGTACACACGGTGTCTTGATTTTTCCTGCACGAGCCTGTACGGATTTTTATCCGGCTCCCGGTTCCAAAGAGAAGGACGATCTCCAATTTCCTTCGTTTCGTGCATCCGTTTCTGCCACACACGCACGCGCGTGCAAACACACAGACACACAAATCGCTATATATCTCTTTGTCTCGTATATCCGTACGCGATTCATAATCCCGCGAGATCGTGAAACATGACCCATTTTTTTCCAGTATTTCCATATTAATAACGTGTCGAGATCAGAAATTCCCGCTAATCACCCAGCAACGAGCCGCGAACAGCCGGTTTCTTCCTGTTTTCTTTTTTTTTTTTTATTTCGCGACCGAATTTTCTCGCTGTGCCGCGAGCACGTACCTTCGCTTCCTTTCCCTCTGACCGCCATCTTTTTTCCCCTCGCGCTTCAATTTCTGCCTTTTTCCATCCCCTCCCCCGCCGTCGCTGTCTACGCATCAACGGTCTTGAAACTCGTTAGCCCGCCTCGAGTAACGCGATTACAGCCAGCTTAACGAGAATTCCGGTGGATCGGATTCGCGAGGATCTCCACCGTTACGGTCCGGCTTTCTGCGACCCGTAGGTTATTACAGCATGACCAGCAGCAACCCCTTCGGATCTATTCTTCGTCTTTCGGCTCCTACCTGATTTCTCACGTTTGTCGTATTTTTTTTTTTTTTTCTGTTCTCGTTTCAGACATCTTAGATCATAATACTCTCATATTACCGACCGATTCTACCGGCAATCCAGTGTTCCCGCCAATTATGCGCCCGAAAGGTATCAATTTTTTGTTTTCTTTTCTTTATTTACTCTTTCTCCTCCTTGCGCGTGTACACGTGCAGTACTTTCCCCTTTAGTTTCCTTTAGTTGTGATTGATTTATGAACATTTTTAGCCGCACTTAATGTAAGATTTACTTTGGCCATTTTCCCAGTTGAGTTCTCCATCGACAATCTCTGTCCTCGTTTATCCATCCCTTGTACCCAAACGT